GTTTTTGGATACCTAGCTTGTCACGTTGAATGAACGAGTCGACGCTGCCGCGGCACGCGGAGCGATTTTTAGTAGTCCAAATTTCGATCTCGAATGTGTTACCAAAGAGCGATTTGAAAGGACGGGAGCGAAATCGCTCGCCGCTCCCGTGTATTTTTTTCGCTGATCAGTAGCCATATATAACTGGCTCTATATGTCGATTTTCGACCTCCACTTGCTATTCAGCCATCTTGGCGACTTCGTTTGGTTGCTGTTGCCTTTTGTCAACATCTAAAAGGTTTCAGACCATAAAGTTATGGTTGTCATCGTTAGATTTATTTGCGTTATTGGTTTATATTCATTTTAATTTTTCGATTTTAATACGCTTAAGTACGTAAGTAGCATAGATCGGTCGGAATAAATCTAAAAGGTTTCTGACCATAAAGTTATGGTCGTCATCGTTTTGAGTGCACTGTTCATATTCGATTTCATTTTTCGATTTTAATACAGTGAAGTTCGTAGCACGGTCCCGTAAGAATTTATCGCGTGCTTCTCTGCCGTTAGCTGTAATTGTTCTAATATTTTTTTTGCCTAAAACGTTAGCTGTTAGTTGCCGAGAGAAAAGGATGCGTGCGGATATTGAGTCTGCAGACAGAGCGGATACTGATGTCGTTGGCGGTGGGACCGAGTGAGGCAACGTTGTTCTCTGCAGACTGGTGTCCGCTTAACCCACTTCTCGTCTGCGCGGCCGTGACAAACAAGTGGCACGTGTGGGACATGTCGAAATCAAAGTAAAGTATTACGCCGACAAATTGTGGACTTGTTATGGAAACGATGATTTTGAGCTCGCCGACGGAATGACGGTGGTTGGCTACGATACTGTGCACTTTATTACTGTGATTTTGCAGATTATTATTATTATTATCATTATTATTTTTATTATTATGCAGATTATGCTATTATTTATTACTTTATTACTACAATTTTGCTTGAGATGGTAAATAATACGTAGTCGAGTTGCAGGCTTATATTGAGGAATTTCGCATTGTGATCGTTGTATAAACGTTTGTAAAGTATTTTGTTAGCAGTGTAAAAATTCAGAATTTTGTTAATGAGAACTAGGATACCATTAATATGGCTGTTGTCTCAGAGATATCATAACAGTATATTAGCCAAGAAGGACTCGCTCACGTATTGCTTTGCTTGAAAAAAAGTGTAAAATGCGAGTAGAATTTGCTCATAGCTTACATAGTTAAGATTTCGTATTTTCTTTCGTGTTTCCCGACAGCCGGCCGATAACAAGTGCGGAGACTCACGTGCAAGGAGCCAGGTTCATTCGGTGGTGCAGCAGTGACAGTAGCCTAGTAGCCGTCGCCGAACACATGACGAAACAACTGCGCGTCTATTCGCTCAATTCACCCCAAGTGCGACCAATTATCGATGCATTTATTTATTTATTTATTTAAAGATGGTACATTAGTAAAAGATATATCAACATGAGCTTGCAAGCTCCTCACCGTCAGTGTGCGGGATCTCAGTCGTTATTATCAAGTTTCTCAAGCATTACCTTGTTGATGAATTGATGCAGTCCTGCAGTGATATCTTGTTTTATCCGGAATTGTTCTTCCTAACGAATTTGTGTTTCGTTGTCTTTCAGCCTGTCTTGTCCACAACACTTCTCTGTTTGTCAAGTGCACCCAGCTGGCATAATCGCATTCCACTTGTTGCTATGGGAATGGACAGGAAAGTCTATTTTTGGAGCCTGGAGAAAAAGAAACTGATTTCTCAACATGCCTCATAATATATATATAATGTTTTAGAAGGCTGTTTCATCATATGTATTTATACAAATTTCAACGAATCTTTAAATAAAGAGGGCGTGACACAATTAGAAACTTACTCAAGTTGGTCATTGTTATTTTGTGGCTAAACTAAGCAATAGGTTTATTTGTAATTTATTTCTGCACTTCAAATTTCAATTGGTGTGTACTATCTAAAAATCCTGAAATATCTGCTCTTAAATGCTGAAATTAATCGTGAAGTTTATAACTTTTAGTATTTAGAATATAAGAAATATTTAAGTGCAGAAAGAATGAGCAGAAATTAAAATATAATGGGCGGCGAAAAGTTTGTTGTCAGAAGTGGGATTCGAACCCACGCCTGGAGAACCAGACTGCGACCTGAACGCAGCGCCTTAGACCGCTCGGCCATCCTGACACCTACATTTGTATTTTGACTTAAAGTCATATTACATAATTACGTCTATTATTGTTGCATAATCTGGAATTTTTCTTTCCTGAATGTCACGCACATGCTATCAATTAAATTTACAAATTAGTAATGCTTTTGCTTTTATATCACAATGTGATTAATACTTCCCTATTATTTTTTTTTTCACATTAGGTGGCGCCACGTGCTGTTTAATTCTCTTGCTTGACAGGTTGCGTGCAGGTTCAGGTGCCTGAGCAATATGATCACCAATATCACAATGCGTGCTAACGATATAGACATATTATAATAACCTATACTGGAAGATCTGGATATGACCAATGATATAAAAATATATCACCGACTTCCCTATGACGTCATTTTATCTACAGTACAAGCATCTCACGAAATTTGATTTTTTATTAAAATTTAAGTTGTTGATTTCTGCCACTTATTTTCTCGGTCAACGTCATTATAATATTACCAAATTACTTTAATTAGGACAGATATATCAAAATTTGAAGAAAAAAAAACAGAAATCCTGATATATGTGGTAAAATCAGCTAGGTTGCATTTTTCTTTTTGGGTGGATTTAAAGCAGCGATTTTTTACTATTGCGTATAAAGCATATAACAAACATATGGGTGCGTTACACACCTGACGCTACATATTCATGTTGGTTACTAGCGCGTTGAAGCCTTTTATATTTTTCATATCATGTTTATATGTTCAATCATATTGTACGTGTTAGAAATGAGTATTTCCATTCATAATCCATAGGAAAACAAGGTTCACGATAAACTGTGTACTACCTGTGTACTGCATTACGGTTGACTTTTCAGAGACGCATATACATGCCTTTCATAACCCGAAGAATTATTGTATATATATTATTGTAGGGCAAGCTTGGCAGTAGTCTGAAAATTCATCGGTTGTAAATCTTACCCCTGCCGGAATATGGCATGTAATTTCCATCCGAATTTTTTATTAAAATCTTATCGTGATATTTAATAGGTTTACAAGTAATCAGTTCTATTTAGCAATGTAATGAGTGTCTCGCTGGTTGGCTTCGGCAAATTAAATATTTTGCATATTTGAATTTCCCATCCATCTTTTTCCCCATACGCATAACCTATAATTAGTTTAGTTCGGCGGCGCCTGTGAGGCCGTGATTCACTCTGGAGCAGTTATCCAGCCGTGGTCGAATGGAAAGCGACGCCTACTCTGTCCCGTCACAGATGTCATTCCCCGACGCCTAGGGCTAGACGCCTGCCACCACCACTACCACAGCCACCATCGCTCCCAGCGCCCCCCAGCGCCGCCTGTATTCGTAGTGACTCAGCAGATCCCTGAGTCAGTGGGACAGCCACAGGTTTACGGGGGTCTCTCCTGGGAGGGCGGGGGGAGGCACGTTCGAACGTCGCCGGAGGTGCTCTGACCGTATCCGCGACGGAAGATCTTCCCCCGTCTTGCCAATTTATCCTTAATTAACTGCGGTTAATTAAATACAGAATTAATATACGAGTGATATGAATCGCCAGAGGAGCGGCTCGCTGATTGGTCAGGAGCGTGCTAATGAATTAGGTTGTGTTAGTCGCGGTCCTGAGTCATAGGCAGCAGCGCAGCTCACAGTTCGTTCTCTCCTTATAGATTTTTATTCAGCGCGCCAGTGAAAAGAACTTTTGATCAAGATGACGATGAAGAGATTAGCGCGGCCATTGTGCGCTATGCATGGCCTGAGAAAATTAATAAGAGCGCATGATTTTCATGAATTACCCGTTCAGCACGTAGCAGATTAGCCTTCGCATGCTCATCATCGTTGGTGGTTTTTATCTTTCTAATCTTCTATTTGTAGACTCGACCTTATAAGGGTATTTCTTCTGGTTGATTGAACTGCTGCTACACACGCTTTTATCTGCCGTAAGTGTGTCTGTGCATGGGTAATGCACTCCTGATTTAAGCGTTTAAGTTTATATTGTTCACAAGTATGTTTGGCCTGTTTCGTATATATTTTCTCCACTTTTAATCGTTCTGTTATGTATTACTAGTTTATTTCTTATTCGTCTGCTTTTTACAAGTAACCGCGAATTAGATACGAAGGAATAGACTCTATAAAAGATCTGATTAACACATTATCATATATATTTGTTCAAAACTACTGCACGAGTATGGTGTTGCTTTATTTATTACTCAATTAATAGCTGTTCATTCAATTCTTCTCTGTTATACAACGTCAACCAAAACACTATTATCAAATGAGAATCCGAATTTCGCCAACTCAAATACGATATACGAGATCGTCAATGGCAAGCCAAATCGCTCCTATTATGTGCGCGCACGTACATGTACATTCGAAAGCGGCGAAACGAATTGGAAATCCTGAATGCGCCGTGCGCGAATTGTCAATCATGAATACGATAAATAATATCGTTGTGAATATCAGATTAAAGCCTGTTATAGCTACGCAGCTTTTGTCGGGCAATGTGATTCAGTGGCGTGTCAAAGACATCGTAATTTATGTGTGGTAGCGTGTGCGTTAGTCACGTTGCTGCCTTGCTGGCACAACCGTCCTGTCGCGTTCGCAGATCTATAAATTGGGACTGATAGAAAATCGACCGAGCACGTCTCCCCCGAGGAAGCGGGAAGGGAAGCCCTTTCTCTCTCTCTCTCTATCCTGAAGCCTGTCTCCCGAACTCTTCATTATCAATGTGTCGCTGACACATAACTCTTTCCTCTCGGGACGCACGCGTCTATAGTCGCCCTCGGTTATCTTCTCCGGGTATAGGCTCTGTGTGGCTATGTATATATATTATATATATAATATAATATAGTATCCATTATATACTAGATATTATAGTGTATATATTGTGTGTGCTGGTGGTGTGTTAGTGTGCGTGTGTGTGTGGTGTTGTGTGTGTTGTGTGCTGGGCTCTGTGTGCGTGCGCCCGTGTGTATTGTAGTACCGTTGTGGTGTGTTGTTGTTGTGGTGGTGTGTGTTGTGGTCGTGTGTGTGTGTGTGTTGTGTTGTGGGTGTGTCGTGTGCGTGTCGGTTGTCCGTACGTGCTGTGTCGTGTGCGTGTGCTGTGTACGTCTTGTGCGCGTGCGCTGGTGCGCGTGCGCGCTCGTATTGGTGTGGTGCCGTCGCATGCGCGCCACGCGTGCTGTCGTAGTGCGTCTGCGCTGGTGCGTGCGTTTGTGTTGTGTAGCGCGCGCGCGTGCGTTTTGTATGTAGCTCGCGCGTGCGTGTGCGTGCGCGCTCAGCTGTGTGTATATGTATTATCATTGTTTCTATATAGTGGCTTCCGCCTCGTCTCCGTCAGCGTGATGACCTCATCGTCATAGACGCAGTCGGATATAGTAATATTACTTTATTACCATGCTACTCGTCTACAAATTTTAAATGCGCCCGCTGCATTCTGGAGATCTTTTGGCGGCGCCAGGAATCGTTTCTCGCAGCACAGAATACGACATTTATATCTCGCCCGAGCGTTTATAGCGGCTTCGACACGTGCTCCGCGTTATTAGCATCGCTGGGAAGCAGACAGCTTGGTGTGCGTGCTGTGCGTGCGTGCGTGCGTGTGTGGTGGGGGGGAGTATAGATAGACGATAGATTTAGATAGATAGAAATAAGACCACAGACACATAGCCCACACGCACATCCCACACACACACACCAGCACACAACACACACACCACACACACACACACAACACACACCCTACCACACACACACACACACACACATCCCACACACATACCGCTGCGGGCGATATAAATACAACCTACAGTAAATATATTATCTATTCTATTATATTATTATATTAGTATTATATTTGATCATGACAAATACATCGCAATTAATAATTCTCGGTATTCAATCCCCGCTAGCGTGACGCTACATACTCGGCTTGTCGCTAAGCACCGCTGTTCCCGCCGCTCTAATGACCGCAGTTGTACATCATCCACCGCGTACTTTGCGGTCGCCGCCCCCGCGCTCGCTGCTAGATGATCTTGCGCCTTCCTTCAATATTATATCTCATGTTGAGCGCGCCTATGAAGACCGAGCATCGGGACCGTCACGCAGCATATAAGCTAAATAACGTTGTCCATATTGGCACCAGTATTGATGTCATCGATCTGCGTCGCTCTGGTGGCTCATTGATCATCGATATACTGCACGCGCATCGTCGATTTTCTTCCGCTACCGGTACGTTCGCCCGAGGCGAATCAGATCCGACACGTTTTATGGGTAAGCCCCGTCAACCTGTGCAAAAAGCGGTGTTTCTCACCTGCGCTTCTTCCCTAATCGTCTCTAAGTTGCGCGGAGAGTGCCTAACTTAGCATACGTGGCAAGCGTGATCTGGACTTGACTTGTACGCGGAGTCAGCTTACTACTGCTCGAAGTTCGCGTTGCATATCATAAATATCAGATCTAAGCACAATACGAAAGTGCATAATATAATACATATATTATTATTATATTATAATATATTATTATATATATAAATAGATCCCTCTATTAGTATCTACTTATATATATCTATCGATATAAATACATCTAATAAGAATATATTTATTTCCCCCGTACATTATTCCTTCTCTTGCTTATGAATGTAATCAGAGTGCGAATAAAAAACACACATTCTTTTTAAAAAGCTAACATTACCCCTCGCGTAGCATACGTTCCTATA